GGTTTCAAAGCCTACCCACTTTTCTACAAATCACTCACCTGATTGTAATATTCAAATGCCTCTGAACTTGCTTCCTAAATTCCCGTTGTCATAATTTTCCAAATCCTCATATCACCCTGGGATTTGTATGTGTCTGCATGTTTGTGAGTGCATGGGTAAGAACACTATGAATAAATGATCCTTCAAGTACGTGTTTGCATACTTAATGCCCCTTGTACTACTTGATGAAACAGGATTTAAACTTGGCCGAGTATAATTTATATACTCTACATGATGTAGTGCTAACACCTTATACTATAGACAATTAAATGATGGTGAATGAATTAATAAACAAATAAATAAACAGCGCTCTTAGGAAGACTCCAGAAAGCAAGAAGGGGGTGGGGAGCTTCTTCCATCTTCCAATTTCCTGAAGCCTCTGAGGTGAGATTGTCTTCAAATAGAGAACTATAAAGCAGGGGGACTAATTTCACAGGACCTGCTCAGCCTGCCCTATAGACATCATCCAGTCCCAAGGAGAATAGACTCTGACCTGTGTACAGAGAGCCTTGCGTCTGACAGCCCAGTTACTGCAAGTAAGCACAGTTACTGCAAGCTTCTAAGAAAAAGGCTCAGCCAAGCTAACACCCGACTCTGCCAGCCCTCCTGAGGCCCGACTTCCAATTCACTGGTATATCTAACCAGGATAATTTGATTTGCAGTGTTTGTCACTCTGTGCTCCCAGCAGAGCAGATCTGAGCTCCAAGTCTACTTTGAAGATATTGGATGCCTGGGTCGGAATTGTGCTGCATGAAGACGAAGAACACAGCCGCTCTGTGCCCACTGAGAGGCCAGAGGTATCCTCCATTACAGAGCAACTTGATTTCTGGAAATCTGAACTTCGGTGCCAGCAGCATAATCACCAGTGCGCCATGTGAAAAGCAAACCGTTTACCCACTTCAGTGGTGTTTTTCTGGCAACGAGGCTTCACTGTACTTACCACAGGCAGTTAGTTATGTGAAGAAAGGGGAACATGAAGAGAGAGCCATTCTGGAAAAAATTTTAGTTCAGATTTACCTGAGTTCGGTTGATTAAATCTCCTCCTCCTTCCAGTTCTCATCCTGAAGGCCTTCAGGGTATAATTTTAGTTGAAAAAAGTTCTGTGTCGGAAGTAGAAAATAGGGAAGTTTGACCTCACGTGCTGCAAAACTGGAGGAATTTCTATAAGGTATAGAGTAGCTAAGACATTCTGAGGGCAGAGCAGAGAGACTCATTTACTCTCTCATCTGAAGTAAGAGTCTCTCCCTGGAGAAGCAGTGAGCGGAGGCCGGCCCCAGGGGATTCCATTACAGGAGGCTGAGTGGGGGGCAGAATTCTGTGGGAAGTCCACCGAATGCCACAGACTCCATGGAAGAGACATGGTCAGCTGCTTTCAACCTGCTAAGGGACTTGGGCCGCTGAGGAGAGCTGTAGGTGGTGCTGGTGAAGACAGTCTCAGTAAGGAAAACAGCCCGGTATCCACCACCTTCCTGACACCCCACCACCGCCAACAGAGTAGTGTGCCTCTTTCTCTGCCCACTCACCGTGGAGATCTAGATTTCTAATCTGACAAAAAAACTTCACAAACATTCTACCTTTTCCCTTTCTTCTTCATCTGAGGCTGAAAGAGCTCAACAGAAATCAACTGAGTCCTGGACAAGTGTGGAAATAACCCCCCACACCACCATCGCCCAGGCTGAGAAAATTTGCTGGACACGACACAGTGTTCTCTAATTTGAAAAAAGAAATTATGTTAAGGCGTCGAAATGTTTCTCCCTGTGAAACGGATTTCCTGAAAGAAACAGGAGAAAATCTTGGACAGTCTCTCATTTGTATTCTCAGCAGGGCTTGACAGGACTTTGCGTGCCCATATCTGCCACACCATCTGCTCTAGGGTCTCCTTATCTTTTCCTGAACCATAAACACTCCCAGGACCCCATCACCCTCCCTGATAGCACACTATATTAGGACCATACTGGGGACATAGGTGCCTCATCCTCCACATTGGCCCCTAACTGTATCAGCCATCAGCAGCACAGTGTCAGGGAGACCTTCTGCCAACAGATGTCTAAGCCACCTAGTTTCTCATGTTGGTCCCCAGGTTGCTCTAAAGTTTTAAAAGGCAGGTCCTCCAAGTTCAAACCACTTATTTATGCTCCACCATCTGCACACCAGCTGCTGAAAGGAGAACATCGTTCTGGCACATCAAAGGCCTCCCCTGCTGTATCTGCTCCTGACAACTGTCCATCTATCTTGAAGGAGAGAATCCTCTTACTAAAACCACTCACTCACTCCATTTAGACTAGCCCTTTTCATAATAGTTTCCATTCTTGAAGCTTTCTTTAGGTCACCCATAGCTAGACTGCTAGAGAAATGAAACTTCCAGAAGAAGGTGACCCATCTGGTCAAAAAAGGGCCAGAGAAAAAGTATAGAACCTGGCACTGAGCAAAGACTGTTCTCCAAATGTGAGATTAGTAAGCATGCTGGAGGTATCTGCCACCTGTGCCTTTCCAGGTAGCAGAGGTTGTCAACCCTGTGGTCCTCCCACTCCAGTTGCACACCCTGCCCCCCAACACTACCACAATGCCCCCTAACTTCAACCATCTGCAGTTTCAAGGCTCTGACCTCTTCCCAGGGACTCAGGAACCCATCTGTAAATCTGAGATGGAGAACCAAAATATCAATTTGATAAAGTACAGGACTCATGGAGATGCTAGCTTCAGCCTGGACTTCTAGAAAGGATAGGGCTGGAGGAGAAATCATGAGAAACTGCCCCAGCCCTGGAACCTGGCAGACCAGGTTTAGGTTTCCACCTGGCAGTGCCAGGGAACCCCAGGAATGCTTGGGGAGGACAGTGGCTTCAGAGTATGGAGCTGACTCCGTACACTTACCAGCTCCCTCCCCTCCCTCAGTCTAGAATCTTCCCTATATCGTCAACATATTTTGTTTTAGCAAATCTAATCCATTTCTTTTAACTGAAATATTTTACTGCACTGTATGAAAGTATCACCTTTTATTTAGCAATTTCTCCAGCTGACCGAAGAAAAGCAATATGCACAATATATACAGAGTATAGTGAATACCAAATTGCTAATCACACACACACACACACACACACACGCACGCACACACAATACTATTTATTTGCTATGGGTGTGTGTGTGTGTGTGTGTGTATGCACATGCATCCACTTATAAAGTATTTTTCAAAGGATTGGAAAGATAATGTAATCAAAATGATACTTACCTTCTGGGAGAAGGAGTTGATTAAGACAGAGAGTGGTGGCAAAGGAGCTTTGAGCTTTATCTGCATTGTTATAGGTTTTTTTTTTTAAGTAATCTCTACACCCAGCGTGGGGCTTGAACTCATGACCCCGAGATCAAGAGTCACATGCTCTACCAACTGAGCCAGCCAGGCGCCCCTGAATTGTTAAGGTTTTAAAGAAGAATTAATGCACCTGTTATTGCATAACTTAAAATTAATTTAATATAAGAAAAAGTGCTACTGTGATGTCTCAGATACTTAGAGAGTATATTTAGGTTCTCCACAGAAAACACAGCTAATAGGAATATAGAAACAGAGACAGAGAGAGGCAAGAGAGAGAAAGAGAGAGATTTGTTTTAAGAAATTTGCTCATGTGATTATGGGCCTGACAAGTCTGAAATTCATAAAGGAGACAGCCGGCTGGAAACTCAGGCATGATTCCTATGTTTCTCAAGGAATTCTTGCTGGGAAACCTCAGCTTTTGCTCTTAAGGCTTTCAACTCATTGGATGAGTCCCACCCATATTATTGAGGGTTATCTGCTGTATTTAAACTCAAGTTGAATGTAGATATTAGTCACATCCACAAAATACCTTCAGAGCAACATTTTCCACTACTATTTGACCAAGCAAGTGGTCATTATCGCCTAGCCAAGTTGACACATGAAATTTTATCATCTCAGTGGGTATCTTCAGGCTCTTCTTATCTCCACCGAATGAGAGAAGCACTTCAGATTCCAATATTAGACTTGTGCATTCTTACCAGCATTCTGCCCAGACCTTTTGGGCTAACGTGTCTTGGCTTTTGATTTCAAGCTTGCCTCTGGATCGCTTTGTCCCCATTGTCTTCACCCGTGGCCTCGCTCTGCTTTGTCTCTTTGGTCAGCCTGTCCCAGCACCCTGGGCCTCTGCTTATTCTGGGCCATGGATTTTTCAACAGATGGAAAGCTCCATTTGAAGGAATTGTGGAAGACTTCTTACAGAGGACTTGGCATTTTAAATGAGTAGCATTCCTGCTTTTTTTCCCATTATTTACTATTTATGTATTACTCAGTGAAACTTTAGTATTACTGTATTATAAAATTATGTCAAAAGAAAAAGAGTAGGATAACCCATAATCACACTACCCTAAAATACCCAATCTTAGCATTTTAGTCTACTTCAGTCTTTTTTCTACATGTATTAATTTTGCAGAGTTATAATCATACCCCATATATAATTTTACCATGTTTTTCCACTTACTGTTATAGTACAAGCATGTTTAATGTTGCTATATAATCTTCATGGTTGCCATTGTTAATGACTACATAATAGTTCACAGAACTGAAGTGCTTTATTTACTTAACTATCTTGTTATCTTTAAACAATTTCCAGTTCATTCTTACAATAAATATCCACATCTTTGCTACTGTAGTATTCTTTTTCACACCTAGAATTCTTTCACAGAGACTTAAAACAATTGCTTGGCCAAAGAATACATTCTTTTGTCTCTTGGCATATATTTCCAAATAGATTTCTTTTAAGGGTTGCATCAATTTACACCGCCATCAGTGTAAATAAGGACCACTGTGTCTCTGTTCTCTTGAGAATAGAGCTTTGACAGGTGAGGATTTGCGACCAGGAGGAAGACATTCCAGTAGCGAAGCCTGAGCCTTGTGTTCTGTAAAGTACCCTGGTTCTCACTGGTACACTGGTTTTGTGTTGCTTTGTTTCTCACAGACTGAGCAGTTGATAACTCTGTGGATCCTGTTTGTTTTCACCATTGTTGGAAACTCCATGGTGCTGTTCTCTATGTGGAGGAGGAAGATGAAGTCAAGAATGACCTTCTTTGTGACTCAGCTGGCTATCACAGGTAAGTAACTGTGCAGGTGGGAGAGAATTAGCTGTGCGCAAAATTCCTGCGGCTCCTCGCTTTCGATTATTTTACCAATAGAAATAGCATACTATCCAGTCCAAAAGGCATCAGCAAATTCGAGAGTAATTTCTATAGGGATACAAAACCCATATTTGGAGTTTCTTTCAGCAAGTTTAACACATCTATATATATCCATAAGATTCCATTATAAAAATAACTCACTCACTATAAAGCCCACTTGAAAATACCGTTATCAGTGACACCAAGGGATTCTCTAGAGTTCCACCCTTCCTCTACGCAGCAGCCTCTGTAGTTCACTAAGGTGATAGTACGGTATCATACCATATTATGAGCTTAAAAATACTTCCCAGCAAATGGACCAGAATTATCTCTATTCAGTAATAAATGTGAAGTCTCAAGTATTTTGCAGATTTAAGTCTGTGGACATTGTTTTTGAAAAATAAGTGATATGTAACACCACTTGTGGGCACGATATAAGGACATAAGATAATATCTGGGATCAGGATGTTTAAATGTGGATTGGGGGAACGTCCAGCACAGTTGAAGTGTGAATGCATCACACTTAGAGGGGGAGTGGTGAAATATTCTCAACTTTAAAAATGACCTGCGAAATAAGAACTCTCACAGAGATGGGTAGAGCCCAAACTGATAGGGGTCATGTTCAAAAGGAAAACATAATCATGGGGCACCTGGCTGGCTCAGTAGGTTGAACGTCCAACTCTTGATTTTGGCTCAGGTCATGATCTCAGAGTCCTGAGATCAAGCCCAGCATCGGATTCGTGCTCAGCTGGAAGTCTGCTGGAGATTCTCTCTCCCTCTCCCTCTGTTCTGTCTCTCTAATAAATAAATAAAACAAAACAAAAGGAAAACATAATCAAGGAGAGAGTCCTATTCTATAGATCAAAGAAGAGAGTGGACAGGTGGGATTCCTGGAGGGTCCAGCCTAAGACAGGCTGGGAATCCTGAGCTCTAGGAACAAGATGGCTGTGATGTGAGTTTAATTTGAATCAAAATGTAGGGAAAGTGCAAAAAAAATTTTTTTAAGTATTAAGTGCTAACAAGGAGCAGTGGTGGATGACCTTCAGAATGGGCTGTTTGGTGCATTTCAACCTGTGCTGTACTCTCAGTTGCAGTAACGGCGATGGGGAGTTCTTGGGAATTTATTCTTGAGCCACAGTATAGGAAAAACATGGCACTTAACTTACAAGAAAAACTTAGCCATTCATTGCTGATAACCTGAAATTCTCCAATCTCTTGAGCTGGGCTACAGTGACCAGGATGAAAACCAAAGGCACTACTGAGAAATACAGAGTTCGTGAGAGAAGCTTGGGTCAGAGGTGGTACCTATGGAAGAAAACTCCTTCAATCTTTACTGCAAACAGGAGCCCCACTTTTCACCCCTGTGACTGTAGGAATGAAGCAAATGCTGAAAAGCAAAATCCCTGGGTGAGGATGTAATAACTTACTTTCATTATATTTCCTTAACTACTGTGTTGTAACCCACATTCTACAGAGCTGTGTGTTCTTTCAGAGGGCAAGAATTTAGAGGTGGCAAGGATATCAGCTTGGAGTTTAGTGTTGCAAAAAATGATCAACAAGTGAATCACTGAAATTTCACCATCTATTGTTAAAAAGTTGTGCTCTAGTCTAATCCATGGTCTGCCGCATTAACTGGGCTTAATTTCTCAGGAATGTTCAAGTCTGTTTTTTATTTGCTAATTCTTTCTGGAAAAACTCAAGGGGTCAGATCAGGAGGATTTTAAGTGAAGAATTCTTAGAAAGGAAAGCTTGACCAACTTGAGGAACTAGAAAATGTAAAATAACAGAAGCTAAAAATACAATAGATGGGTGTAGCAGCAAATTAAACAAAACTGCAGAGAAAATCAAGTTAGGTCATGAAGATAGGTCAGAAAATAATAATAAGATTGAAGCATGAAGAAACAAAAGGATGGAAAATACAGACAGAAAATAACACATGGGCCCAGGGAAAAGGATTCCCCAAAAAAGATAAAAGAGTAGTCGGAAATAATATTTAAAGATATAAAGACCAACAGTTTTTCCAAAATCCTGAAAGACATCAAAATACAGACAGATTCATAAAGCACCATAAAAGTGAAGAAAGGAGAGAGAAGAATGCTAAAATTATTAGAACAGGTAGGACAAATAAGCTGGTACATTTAACCTCCAATATATTGATAATTGCATTTAATGTACGTGGACTAAGTAGTTCACACAAAATAGCAAGATTGCCAGAGTAGGTTTAAGACATACCTACTTCAGTTTGCTTATAAAAGGTGTATACCTTAAATATAAAGATATAATTTTAAAAGGAAAGTAAAAGGATAGTCAAATAAAAGGATAAAAAATAATAAAACAAGGAAACACAAACCAAAAGAGGGCCGATGAAGCTGTATGTGTGTGTCAGAAATTCAGATATTCACTGTGCTTCTTAAGGCATGGGGGCCCGTATCTTTGTCTTAGCATTTGCTTTAGGGGAAAAAACCGAAGAGAGGAGGATTCTAGCGCTAATAATGTTCTTTTTGTTGTTGTTGATGGTAATTACGTGGATGTGTTCCCTTTGTGATAATTCACCAAATTATATGCTTATGATTTGTGTACTTTATGTAGTTTATTTCAATAAAAAGGTTTATTTACAAAACACAGCACCTCAATATAGAACAGGAGTTGCCATCTCAAATGCCTTCAGGATCAACTGTGTGAAAGAGCCCAGGGAAGGGACAGGTAAAGATGGACCCCCAGGGCAAGTGGAGAATGCGTACCCCACCTACAGGCATTCAAACTCAATTCTTGTTAAGCACTATGCTGATCAAACAAACCACACGGGCATATAGCTGCTGATATATAAAATCTTAAAATCAAAATTTTAAAAGCTTATGCTACGATAAAATTCTAGCCCACCCCATGTTATGAATCCCACTTGCAGTATTGGAAGGGACGGACACCTGGGTGTCTCTGCCTTCGGTTCAGGTCATGATCCCAGGGTCCTGGGATCAAGCTCCACATCCGGCTCCCTACTCAGCTGGGAGTCCGCTTCTCCCTCTCCCTCTGCCCCTCCCCCATTCATGTGCACACGCACGTGCGCGCTCTCTCTTTCTCTCTCTCTCAAATAAATAAATAAAATATTTTTAAAATATGTGAAAGGAATATTAAGCTTTTTGGGTGCAGTTGGGGAGAGTGAGAGCAAGGGTGGGGAGCTTATCATTTATAATGGTTTAAACAAATTGCATGTTTGTCAAAGTTTTAAGATGCATTCTCTTGAAAAAAAAAGATGTTATGTTAGGACTTTCTTCTCCAGTTTCCTTTATTATAATTTGAAAATTATAGACCATTATATTGAACCATTTTGAAACCAAAAAAGTTGAAATGTTATATGCCTCAGGAGCAATAATAATACAAATGAAAATATAAAGGAAATTTCTTGATGATATCAAGCCCAACCTACATAACCTGGTCTACATGATTATCAGATGACCCCTAAGATTAAGGAGAAAAGTCAAAAGCACCCCATCCTTATATCTGCTTATCATTAAAATTCTTCCTTCAGAGGAGCACGTATCAGGCTTCTTGATATGAGGAAAAATCACTGACAAGACACTGGCCCTATCAGGGTATTAAAACAGAGGCTGCTGGCTTAAACTCAGCATGATTGAGTTGTTCTCACATAAAGATGCTGCATTATTAGTGTGTCCCTGTGTTGCCAAGACATTTGCATAAATACAGCTATAATTTTATAGGTGTTTTTCTTTTGGCATCGTGTCTTAGTCTGTTCAGTGCGCCATAGCAAAATAGCACAGACTGGGGGGCTTAAACAACACACATTTATATCGTCAGAGCTCTGGAGGCTGGGAGTGTGAGATGGGGTGCCAGTAGGGTTGGCTCCTGGTGAGAGCGCTCTTCCTGCCTTGCGGAGGGCTGCCTTCTCACTATGTCCTCACATGGAGAGAAAGAATGCAAGCTCTCTAGTGTCTCCTAATAAAGCTGCTAATCCTGTCAGATCAGGGCCTTACCTTTCTGACCAACCACTTCCATAAAGGCCCCGTCTGCACATAGAGTCATATTGGGAGTTTGGGGCTTTAACATGAATTTTGGTGAGACACAAATATTCAGGTAATAACAGAGGGAAATAGCTAGGTGCCTCAGAGGATTACAGGTGATTCACAACGGGCAGAACATAGTGTGGGGGATTGGAGGTCCTAGATGAAAGAAATGAGGGGTAGCCATAAATAGCTTTGGATGCCTTGCTAAGATGTTCAGCAAATCCTTGAGCATATCCTCTGTCATGCTTGCTTGGTTGGAGCCACCACTGCCCTTTATGTGGATTACTGCAAAAGTCCCAACATATAAGAATGAGAAAAGAGATACTTAAATTAACCCATGGCCAGGTTTTGCTGGCAATATGGGAACACAATAAAGCAAGGAAGTTAAACTTCTTGTCAAGGGGATGACACAAATGTTGGACACAGAGACCATGACTAAAGAAAGAAAGGAAAGCAGGCAGGTCAGAAAAATCGAGAGAGAGTGGAGAGTTAAGGAATGATAGGTCGCCACAGAGTGGTAAGGTGGGCTTAGTGATAGCCGCTGAATAAAAGAGCTGGAAAGAAGTGAGTGTGTGTTCAAGAGCCAAGATATTCTCAGGTGAATGTTGCAGAGATGGTATAACTCAGTGTGTCCCTTGTACTGGGGAGTAGAGTATTGTCACCTGGAAAGTTGTTAGTAAACAGGGCCACCATAATGGAAATTAATTCTATTAAATTTTTACCGTGTACCAGGCTCTGTGCCAAATGCTTTGTGTAGATTATTTGATTTAATCCTCACAATAGTCCCATGACCTAACTCTGCCATAATCCCCTTTTTATGGGCATAAAAATTAAGATTCAAAGAGATTCAGACCTTGCCCTAGGTCATGCAGTAAGGGGTAGACCAGATATTCAAACTCAGGCAGTCTTTCTTCCAAT